TTGGTAAGTCTGTTTTTCTGGTGTTGCCTTAGCTACAGTACAACAGTGAGTGAAAACTAAAAACCTCTTTGAGTATGAGGTAATGTACTCCTGTGTGGCAAGTTTATATTTTAGACTTGGCATCCTGAACAATATTTGTTTTAGTTGTGCGATTGTTCTGTTGAGTCACTTGTTTTGAAAGGCTTTAGCCTCGTGGGTGGTCTTTCCCACATTACAGTTGCAGCTCTATAAATCAAATGGTCCTCAAAATTGTGGAAAACAAAACAACAACCATTTATTGGTCACCAGTGTCATGCCAAATTGTCTACATTGATTTACGGTGATGTAAGTTGTGTTCGTAAGTGGTTGGCTTTTCAGTTTTACAAGAATCTGGTTAACAGCTTCCTGTTAAAATCTGTGAATCTGCAAATTACCCCTCATTCAAGTGCATTAGAGTCTGGTAGAACCATACCCACTTTTCATGCTACTAGTTATTAACTTTCATGTTTATACAGATGCCAGGTTGTAGGTTATTTGTGCATTGCATCACTAAATTGTACAGACCGTAATTGAAGAGATTTTGTCCACATATAAAAGGTCTCAAGAGAATGTAGAAACGTGGGGGGGGAGGGGGGGGGGGGTTGGCTGTAGAATCAAAGTCATATTAATAATAAGAGTAGAAATGTTTAACCCTCCCACTGTCCTAAAGGGTGTGACCCCACGAGGAAAGTTGACCACTGAGCAGGGTTGATGGTTTATCCCTTGGGTCCATGTGGCAGAGGTGAGGAGTGAGCACCACCTCACCCTGCCACGTGGACCTCAAGGGATTAACCATCGATCCTGCTCAATGGTCAACTTTCCTTGCGGGGTCACCCATAAAGACAGTGGGAGGGTTAAGGATCTCCTCCAAGCATGCCCAAACATAGCTACGTGTACTAGAAAAATGCTTTGATTCGTAATCTGTCCAATATGGTTACTTTCTGTTTAACCAACTGAATGAAAGAGACCAGAGGACGTCAGTCGTGATCTGTCGTCAGTGTGTGCGGAGTGCAGCATCTCCAAATAAATCTCAAGTAGGAACGTAAACTTACTGCCCATGTGGGCAGCAGTTGCTCAGGAGGTAAAGCAGGTTGTCTAGTAATCAGAGAGTTGTAGGATTGATGCTGGCTACCGGCAGAACTTGCCTACTGGTGTTGGTCTGAGGGACTGTTGGCGTCAGTTCTCGGCAGTCTGTCAGAGAGCCCCAGGGCACCACCAGGGTGTGAATGTGTGTGTGTCTTTAAAGCAATCAAATATTGACCATTCACCACATGTAGAGTTGTCTTCCATTCAGGTTTTATTGGTAAACTTAATGCAAATCAGAAAATAACATCTGGCTGTGATCAGTCCATAAGTAACGTTGATCATTGATCATAGTAGAGGGACTAAAAGCAACAGTTTGGTCCTTTTTTTTTTGTTTAGTCCAAAGCCACGTTGCGATGTGTTGTGAAGGTTTGGAAAAAGTGTTTCTCGTCTAATTCTTGTAAAAGCTTAAAAGCTTTGGGTTATTTCCATTGCCTTGCATCTCTGATTAGCACCTGCTGCGCAGCATCCTCAGGAGCTCCTATCACACACTGCCAGCCAGGACTGGCTTTGCTCCGACACGTGGGTGCTGGTGTGTCAATCTAACAGGGATTAAACTACAGAGAACAATCAATGAGAGGCACAAGGGTTCTCTGAAAGATGAGGTAATGCAGTGTTTTTCTGAAAGCGTACACCTTTAATACAACATCAGTTAGAACATATTAAAGGATAATTTTATAAATCAGATGCATGATGTATACAAGATACTAAATTCAGTTTGTAGTTTGATTGCCAAGGATAAAAAACCTATCAATAAAAGTTTTAGGGTTGTGTGTGTGTGTGTGTGTGTGTGTGTGTGTGTGTGTGTGTGTGTGTGTGTGTGTGTGTGTGTGTGTGTGTGTGTGTGTGTGTGTGTGTGTGTGTGTGTGTGTGTGTGTGTGTGTGTGTGTGTGTGTGTGTGTGTGTGTGTGTGTGTGTGTGCGTGCGTGCGTGCGTGCGTGTGTGCGTGTAATACTACAGAAGCTTCATTATGATATCCATGCTGTGCTAACCTCAATGTGCATCAACACAGTTCCAGTTTCGTTCAGAGAGCTCATCAACTTTAAAACCAGACCATTTGTCTTAAACAGAAACAATCAACTGTTTCATGAAACAAGTCCATTGATCCTCATTACACCCAGTCACCACCATCGACCAGCCGTTAAAACCAGTCATCCCTATTGATCGCCTATTAAAGATTACTGGGCTGCCCCGTTTCCCTGTATGTCATTTCCTTCCACAGCCATTGACTTTCATTGATCTATGGCCATCTGAGCTGTAACCTTGTTGCTCCTTATGAGTCTAAAAGCATAAAGGTTTCCTCCCTCTGACTACCATCTGGAGCATCTGTAACAAAGTGGACATTAAGGTGTTATTAAACTTTTAATGACTCTGTCTCCTGTTTCCAGACCATCATTTTAGATATAAGCTGTTTATAGACACCATATTGGTGCAAAAAGACATCCTTGTAAAACCTCTATTCCCCCTCAGTAATTCACAAACAAAGAAACTCATAACGGCATTGGGTTAGCTTACAAACCGGGAGTCTGCTCCTTAAAATCAGCTGAATGACAGCAGCATGACTGGATAGAGCTATTTTCTGATAATTCTACCTCTTATTTAACACTTCTGTACTAATTTGGCTGTATTTTCACCTCCACTGGGAGCTCAGATTGGGTTAGTGAAATTCCAGCTAAAAAGCTCTCATTCTGCCTCAGTACTTTCACACAACATCAATAAAATTGAAGGGAAAATGAACTTAATGAATACATGAATGAGAAAAAGAAAAATAAGGTTTAGGCGTTCCTATGAACCGTTACGATAAATCATACATGTGTAAATGATGAATTGGCCTCTTTATTCTGAACGTTATGTTTGCCTTCGTGTTGCTTGTTAAATGACAATTGTATTTAGAGTCAGCCTGGCTGCTCTATCAGCACCTTAAACTCATTTAAACATTGAGTTAACTTCTGTGCCCACGGGCTTATTGTGGAGTACTTCACAGCTCATTGAACACAGCACCAATGTCGTGTGGTTTCGTTTAATGTTGCCGACTCAGGCACTTAAATGTGCCACTGGATGGTGCGAAAGTCACATGAAAAAGGTTAAACCACTGCATGGGGTTGTTTACACAAGCTGAATGTTTTTCCTTGGTGATTAGAACTAAATCAAACTCTTCTAAGGTACTTAAATTTCAGCTGTACCATTTTGTTCTTACTCAAAGCTGATTTCATGTTAAATTTATATTATTTGACAATAACTTCCTTTTTTTTTCACGAAAAAAGTCTTACCGTCCCATCGGATTAGTAGAAATGCCTTTATTAGGTTAGCTGGTTTCATTAGCTGCGTTATAGCTAATTTTCACCCACGTTTTCATCACTTTCCAGTCATCTTTTCTTCTGATTATTGGCATTTTCCCCAACAGACAGAGTGAGAGTGAGAGTGGGAGTGTTATCAATATTCTTTATTCTTTATTTACAGACCATTTTCATAACATTCCTGTACACAATATACACAATATCACTCTACTACATAAATTAGATGTGTGAAAGGGACTCCAAGAAGCTAAAACGGCTTATTTAAGGATCCCATGATTAGATTAAAATAATGCATTCTCACAAACCTGACTTTTATCAGAAAATCATCAGACAAAAAAGAAAACAATTAGTCAAATCAAACCATACTTATGAAGTACCAAAGACCAAACTGTTTTTGCGATATAGCAGAAAAATGTCAGAGATTCCTGGTGGACCTGTTCCCTGGATGCATGGAATTGCCTATATTTGCTGCTTCTTGAGGATTATTACATTCATAAACAACCATACAAGTCTATGTAATATGAAATTTGCTATATGAAGAGTGTAAAATGGCTTCACATTAATAATTTTACACTTTTGGTGGTTTGGGCTATTTAATGAGAACACCATTACATCATTCTTGGTTCCACCCAAACTAAATGTCCTCAGAGGACAGTAGTAGAATAAAGCACTAAAGAGGAATCATGATAATACAAAAACAAAACAGCTAAATTGATTGGGAGGTGGTAATTTGGAAGACAAGGCAGAAAATGTGAGTTGGATGTGATTGTGTGGCGCCTTTTGGCAGCACTCTTGGCCCAGAGCAGTGATCCACTGCGGTAGATCAGTGATACGCTCAATTTTCTCAACCACATTACAGGAGCCCAGCAGTAGCCACATGCAGCATCCTAAACATTTTCATACAAGTTGTAAAGGAGAGCTGATGATGAAAACCATGTTTGCAAAGATAGATGAGACTTTGATATGCTTTCTAAAGTAAAAGCAGCTCAAAGCAACAATACTGCCATTAAATAGAATACAACATGTTGTACAAAATGCTGCCCGACTTATTTTGTGCATTTGAGTCAACTTTAAAAAGTGTCTAGGAAAGATGCAAACCATAGAGTAAAAGGACTCAGTGTGAGGTGCTAGTTTAAAATTAAATCTAGACCCATCAGGAAACATGTCGATGTTGACTTCAGTTTTGGATCAGTCTTTAAAGCTATTGACCGTTTATTTTAAAGGGTCTAAGAATTACCTCATAGCATTAGTTGAGAGGGATGCAGTAGAAAGGGTAGCAACAGGGAGGCTAAATATAACCAGATGCTTAGTTCTAGATCTGGTACATTGTTGCTACCTCAGGTAATCTTTGTTTCCTGACTGGATAGAGCGCTGGAGAACACTAGAAAAGTCAAAGATGTAGGATTATTGTTGCAGGAGTGGAACTAAATGTCTCATTTGAACACGTCTCTCTCCATTATTCAATCAAACTGAATTTACTCCTACTTCATGGACACTTCTTTGCTTTTGTTTCCACCGCTTTCTCTCAACTGACCTAAGTATAATTTTATTTCTTTTAGATGTTTTAACAAAGAAGCTTTGTCTTTATTTTTCCTTCTATAGATGGATCTGAGGATGAGGAGGAAACAGAACAAGAGAAACAGCTGGCAGAGAAAACAAAGACTAAACCAGAAAAGAGGAAGAGGGTAACGGGGAAAGCAGCTAAAGCCAAGAAGAAGAAAGATGACACCCAGGTGATGTCATTTCTGTGGTTTAAGAGTACAAGTTTATCTTTTTTCCAACAGAATTTGTTAGTTCAACGAAACTAGAAGTCACCATGGCCCTGCTGCTGATCAGAGTGGGATTTTGATTTAACCTCCATACAATCCCTAACATTATTGACAAAAATGTTTATTATTTGATAGCACTCTTATTTTGTCATGTCTTCAAAATAATGGAGATTTTTTTTAAGTAAGCAAGTAAATATGACAAAACAACAGCAAAATACAGCAACGCATCAGAAAATACACCCTCATCATTTCTATGGCAGCTCTTCTCTGCTTTTATAGCAGTTTTGTCTGTTTTTTTAATGTGACTGATGCTTCAGGTAGAACATTAAAGTCATATTAGTTGGTCAATATTCTTTACAATATTGTTTCAGTGTTACGTATATATTTCCTTGATTCTGATTCTAAATGGACCTGATAAATGGTTGTCTACGTTAGGGTTGTCACGGTATGAAAATTTAACCTCACGGTTATTGTGACCAAAATTATCACGGTTCTCGGTATTATCGCGGTATTTTTTAAACGGTGTTGCATATGTTCAGAAAGCATTGATAGTCCTGTTCTACACAAACTGAAAAAGTTTTGAAAAGGTTTAACAGTGTTTATTAAACCTAAAATAACACAAAGCCTTAGCAAAAGTGCAACTTTTCACAAGTAAAGGAACAAATAGCTTATTTTTCTGGAACATGTTACAGTAGTCAGTGCAGGTTTAAATTATACAAATCCAAACATTCAAAACATAAACAATATGTAAACAAATCAAAGAAACACCACTTGTTTTCTCATATACTTGTTTTCTTCATTATCAAAATGAAAATCTAAAACTCCAGTCCACACTTGACTTGAGCACTGTACAAGTCAACCTTAAAAAAATATGTATTTAAAATAAATAGCCACTTTAAACAAATTACTAAAATAACTACTACACTATGTAATCAAATCCAAATGTTCAAGTATAAATGGCACTGAATAAGTAAACAAATCAATGACAAGGAACTAATTGTATATTTCTCTTCATCATCAACAAATACGATGCTTCATCCAGCAACAGGGTGTCCGTGACACGGTTTAAATGCTGGCAGAGGACGCTGCGGCTGCAGTATATAGTGACTCGTTGCATTCTCCCTCAACCAAAAGTCCTCACGTCATGCATTTAAGCTAAAATGCTAATGTTAACTTACCTTGCACTGGCTGTAGAGACGTGGGTGATGGTCACGCAGATGTGCCTTTAGATTCGAAGTGTTGCTGCCTTTTGCAGACACTTGTTTCCTGCACGTTCTGCAAACGGGATAGCAGTCTTCTATTAAATGTGCCTCAGCATTTTTCAGAAATCCAAAATATGCCCATACTTCCGATTTAGTCTTCTTTGAGGGCTGATGGATGTCCTGGGCGCTGCCGTCTCCTCCTTCGGCCATTATTTCAGCTTCAAAGTTTTGGTGCAGTTGCAAACTAAAAAGTGCGTGTGCGCGCCGCGGGAACTTCAGCTGAAGCGACGGTGGCTGGTAAGGGTCACCGCGCCTACACCGCGGCCACGGTAAACCCACCGAGATAATTTAGTTTTTTAAAAACTGGACGGTTATTTTTATTGTCAACTTTTTTACCGGGGTTTACCGCTATACCGGTTACCGTGACAACCCTAGTCTACGTTGATTCTAGTACGATTATCGGAAATTTTGGTTTTAATCACCATTAAGCAGCTCAGCTGTTATCTACTGACATAAATCTGTACCTGCAGTATCCTTAAAAAGTGGATTATGGATAGTGTTTTCCAACTCTGTGAGAAATCCTTAAACTACAGGGACTGGTCTTAAAATTAGAATATCGTGACAAATAGGGCTGCAACAAACGATTATTTGGATAATCGATGAATCGGATGGGGTCTCGACACGATTAATCGATTAATCGGATTACATGGGGAAATTTTTTAAAACTGCTAGGGAAACGTTATTTCTCTCCTTCCTTCACTTTATTTAACACAACATTATTAGAAAACAGTTCAATAGCAGAAAAACAACATGCCATCACCTAAATTGTCTTATAAGGTGTATAGACAGAGACCCTAAGCTACATCTATCTGTGACCTAAAATGCTTGGTCCAAGTTAAACAGCTTAAGGGCAATTCTCATCTGTTTTGCTTGATCTCATCTGTTGACATTTATTTTAAATGTAATTAAACATAGGCTGTGAATTAATCAAAATTGATCACTATTTCCAAAAATGACTGAAAAAATACCAAATAAAACAAAAGTAAATGAATGCCATCCTCCTTGCGATGATGCCCTGGGCAACTGCCATAAAGTCACATCAAGAAATGCTGCTGATCATTCCAATGATCCCAAATAGACTCACATTAGGCCACATGAAAGCAACTGAACCCAAAAATATATTAACCAGTATATAACTGCACTCTCACACAACACGCCTGCAGCAACAGTTAGGACTCCTCCCTCCCTTTTAAAAGCGTTTTTGCTTCTGAGGACATTGTGGCTGTAAAACCACATGCTAGTAGTCTGGCCCCGGTGTGATCAACCAGTTTCTGCGGGAATGTGACGGCGGAACCAGGGCCAGATTAACACTTTGTTGTACACTGGGCAACAATATTCAAGGGCTCCATCATCACGACCCAAGGATCACCATAATGTGGTCACATACAGAATATTTTACTGTAATATGCAGTAAATATACTCAATACTTGAATGCCTGACAACACGTAACCCGCCCAGAGTAACCTTTGACCCACCTCGTGTGGACTGACCAATGAGGAGAGGGTCTTAACTTGAGGCCCTCTCTTCATTGGTCAGTCTGCATGAGACTGACTCTCAACTGACGTTCAGTCATAGGCAGCGAAGCGTCTCTGTGCAGCGCAAAAGCCCGGGTGGACAGTTTGTTTAATGTAGGGTGATCATATTTCCATTTCCAAACAAGAGGACAGGGGATCTGTGCCTATGACATCACACTATGGCAACGCCACACAAACCATGTTGGGACCCATTTTTTGTAAGAACTAAATTAATATCAGATTCTGCCAATAAAAGGGCTCTAAAACAATTCATATGTAAATATTTTGCATATTTAATGTAAAATCTAATTTTTCTGCTTTAGTGCTGCAACAAGGTTTTATTAATAATAAATTATTATACCTTTTGTTTTACTACAGCATCGGTAAGCTTCCTGTGCACAGATTATTAAGGATGCTTGTTTCAGCTGTGAGATTAGACGATAGGATCAATGAAAAAATAAGTTGTCACACACTCCATGGAAACTTTCAGAGAATCCACAAATAGTGGCTTTCAAATGGTTTTGTTACTTTTTGCAAGTTTATAAAAGCAGCAGATGAGACAGCATGTCTGATAATTTAGTTTTTCATCTGATAATATTAGAACATGTCAGTAATGTCTGAGGGGACTTTATAAACACTGTATAACTAACACTACTGGAGAGGGTATGAATTACACAGAGGCTTCTGGGGAGCCCAGTTGGGGGGGAGGGGGGGGGGCATTTTGCCTTGGCCCCCAAAATGTCTTGAACGGCCCTGGGTGTGTGACTGAGTTTTGAAGGTGATCTGAATTGTATCAGATGTATAAATATTACATGTGTATAACTTATTGTTTTTTACTGGTAAAAACGTGTAGTGGAGATAAATCTACCTACATTTTACTTTGTTTTCTTGTTTTTATTTAACTATTTTCCTGTCCTGTCTGTCTCTCATCTTCCTGCATCTCCTCTTAATTCTCCAGAAAATCTGCTGCCTGGATTCTTACCTTTTCACCTCATCAGTTACTTTTGAGCAGATCAAAGGGATCTCCTGACCGAAAAAGCTCAGAGCGCGTTTTCGATGCTGCATGAGGTGACATCACCACAGCACAGGTGATGAGCTCCGCAGTAGCGCGCTTCAGGCACAAATAAGACAGAAAATAGAGAACATGTGCAGACATGAACGATCGTGTGCTAATTATAGGTTTTTGGTTGCGCCACTTTGAGAATGGACCATGCGCTGGAAGCAGCTGCCTGGATCGCTGCGCAACAATGCGGAACCGGTTCGCAGCAGAGCAAGTCTGCCGGCTCTCCCTCGCGCTGATCTGCCGGCTTTCCCTCGCGCTGATCTGCCGGCTCTCCCTCGCGCTGATCTGCGGCTCTCCCTCGCGCTGATCTGCGGCTCTCCCTCGCGCTGATCTGCGGCTCTCCCTCGCGCTGATCTGCGGCTCTCCCTCGCGCTGATCTGACTTGCTCTGGTCTGCGCGCAATGGCGGGCGGGAAGGGGGGGCGCTTTTGGAAGAGTTGTGCGACACAACGAATCGATGACGCAATTCGTTGCCAACGCTTTTAGTAATCGATTTTCATCGAATTTATCGATTCGTTGTTGCAGCCCTAGTGACAAAGTTGATTTATTGCAGTAATTCCATTCAAAAGGTGAAACTTGTGTATTAGATTCAGTCATTACATGCATACTGATACATTTCAACTTTTTATTTATTTTAATGTTGATGATTATAACTGAAAACGAATGAAAATCCTAAATTCGGTATCAGAATATTAGATTATCAGTTAAAACCAATGTAAAAAAGGAATTTTAGAAATGTTGGTCAACTGAAAAGTATGAACATGAAAAGTATGAACATGTACAGCACTCAGTGTTTAGTTGGGGCTCCTTTGGCCTGGATTACTGCAGCAATGCGGCGTGGCATGGAGTCCATCAGTCTGTGGCACCGCTCAGGTGTTATGAGAGCCCATGTTGCTCTGATTGTGGCCTTCAGCTATTCTGAATTGTTGAGTCTGGCATGTTGCATCTTCCTCTTCACAATACCTCATAGATGTTCTATGGAGTTAAGGTCAGGTGAGTTTGCTAGGCAATCAAGAGCAGGGATACCATGGTCCTTAAACCAGATACTAGTAGCTTTGGCACTGTGTGCAGCTGCCAGGTCCTGCTGGAAAATTAAATCTGCATTTCCATGAAGTTGGTCAGCAGCAGGAAGCATGAAGTGCTCTAAAACTTCCTGGTAGATGGCTGCGTCGACCTTGGATCTCAGAAAACACAATGGACCAGCACCAGCAGATGACATGGCACCCCAAACCATCGCTGACTGTGGAAACTTTACACTGGATCTAAAGCAACGTGGATTCTGTGCCTCTCCTCTCTTCGTCCAGACTCTGGGACTTTGATTTCCAAAGGAAATGCAACATTTACTTTCATCAGAGGACATAACTTTGCAACACTCAGCAGCAGTCCAGTCCTTTTTGTCTTTAGCCCAGGTGAGACGTTTCTGATGCTGTCTCTTGTTCAAGAGTGGCTTGACACAAGGAGTGCAACAGCTGAATCGCATTCTTCTGTGTGTGGTGGTTCTTGAAGCACAGACTCCAGCTGCAGTCCACTCTGTGAATCTCCCCACATTTATGAACAAGTTTCACAATCCTCTCCAGAATGTGGTTATCCCTGTTGCTGTTACACTATTTTCTACCACATCTTGTCCTTTCCTCCATCTCTCTATTAATGTGCTTGGACACAGAGCTCTGTGAACAGCAAGCCTCTTCAGCAATGACCTTTTGAGTCTTGCCCTCCTTGTGTAAGGTGTCAATAGTCGTCTTTTAGACAACTGTCGAGTCAGCAGTTTTCTCCATGATTGTGTAGCCTAGAACTAGACTAAGGCCCTGTCCACATGTAGCCGGGGATCTGCCAAAACGTAGATATTTTTCTACGTTTTGGCCTGTCATCCACACGAAAACTAAGTTTATTCACATGAAAACGGATCTTTTTAAAAACTCCGGCCAAAGTGAAGATCGGCGTTTTCTCCGTTTTGGGTGTCTGCGTGTGGACAGACAAAACCGGAGTTTTAAGGTCGGCAACGTCACTTTCCGCGACAAAAAAATGCTGACATCACGTGTGCGACCTGTGTTTACACTAGCCGACAGCATGGATGCCCTCAGAGCTGCGCTCGCTTTATCAATTGTCCAAGCGCTTTTTGCTTGTTTGTTTCTGCGAGCGGAATTACTGCTCCTTACGGAAGAACACAGACGAAGGACGAGGTTAAGAACGGGGGATGTACTGCCGCCTACAGGTCTGGCATGTCCTTAACAACGTATTTATCCGGGTACGTGTGGACAGAGTTTTTCTTTAAAACGAGGTGGTGTGGATGCAAGTTTTTGGAGGGGCGGATATTCATTTAAAAAAACCCGGCTACGTGTGGACTAGGCCTAAGGGACCATTTAAAGGCTTTTGCAGGTGTTTTGAGTTAATTAGCTGATTAGTGTGGCATCAGGGGTCTTCAATATTGAACCTTTTCACAATATTCTAATTTACTGAGATGCTGAATTTGAGATTTTCATTCCTTCTCAGTTATAATCATCAAAATTAAAGAAATAAACATTTGAAATAATAATAAAGCCCTTTATTGTCCCTCATTGGGGAAATTCTGGCGCACCAGCAGCAAAGTTACAAGTATGTTAAGAAAACAGATTCACACAAATATGTATTTGTATATAAATGAAAAGAAAAATAATGATAGAATAGAGATTGTAAAATATTTACAGCATGAATTTAGTAATGACACAAAAATATTATATAAGATGTTATAATAGCAGCATGAGACTAGAGATGGAATAATGTACAATCTTCCAATGTTGGACTCGGATTATGTGCCACGGAGGCAAAAACTGAAAAAGGGTTATTGCTTCGATCAATGTGTAATTATATGTGTGCGTAAAAACTGTGCAAATAACAGCAAAATATATCAGCCTCTGTGTAGTGAATGAATGTAATATACACATTTCACTTTTTGAATGGAATTACTGAAATAAATCAACTTTGTCATGATATTCTAACGTTACGACCGGCACCTGTATACTGACCAAAACTAATTATGAATTTTTCCATAGTTGATCCGGCCTAGGAGTCACCATATTTGTTCTTTGGTCATTTAAATAACACATTTGTTCATGGAGTTAAAATAAAGTATCACAGAGACTAAAACACCTGATGTATCATGTGACAGATTATTGCCCCGGCTGTAATAACGTCTCTATGTGTTTTGGCTGATGTGTGTTCTCAGAAAGAGTGTGTTGTCTCTGAAAAGAAAGCTTGTGAAGATCACCAATCAACTAAAACTAAAAAGAAGAGAAAGGTGAGCGTGGCGCCACCTGCTGCTGCAAACAGTCCGCTGGTTTCTGGACTGATGCTCTGGCTGTAAATAACCATACATATATTTATGTTTGCTTCTTATTTCCAGAGGAAGAAGAAAATCATCACAGATGTCTTGGCCTCCTCTGAGCCGAAGCCCGGCTGTCCGGCTGATCTGCAGGATCTAGTCTCACGTTACTTCTCAGACAAGCGCTCAGTCATTGAGCTGGAGGAGCTCAAGCTGCAGAGTGAGTCGAAGCTACCCCCTTTTCCAAATTGCAAGTTCAGTCAATAAATCCTGACCCGCTGAGTCACCGAGGTTACCGTGCGACTTCTCACGTCTCTCTCAGACTCCTGCTTCCTGTCCAGTAATGACCTGACACACAGCCTCTCGTCTTACCTGAAACAAGGTGAGCGACGCTCTGACCTTGTCGGATGTTTACATCCAGGCTCGCGTGTCTGACTTTGATCGCTTCTTTGTTCTTTTATTCTAAGTTTGTCCCAAGTGGGCAAAGATCCAAAAGCAGCACACAGAGAAGAGTTCAGTGGTGGTCCTCATTGTCTGCAGCTCGGCTCTGCGAACCATTGAGCTAATCAAGTAAGTGATGAACAGCTGACATTTGTCCTTCTCTTACATTAAAATTATTGCTCGTTTCTGTTTTATGTGCAGGCAGCTGACGGCTTTCAAAGGTGAAGCCAGAGTTGTGAAACTCTTTGCCAAACACATCAAGGTACCTGAAAGTTAAACATAATGTGTACAAACAAGTGCTACCAGGTCAGTAATATTCCCGACTTGTCTGCACAGATAGAGGAGCAGGTGAAGCTGCTGCAGAAAGGCGTCACGCACATCGGAGTGGGAACACCTGGCAGGATCAGTGCTCTCATTGAGAAAGGTTTGCGTGGACACAAGAGTGTTTATCTGCAGATGTTTCGAGTTTCTCAGTCTGACTTTGTACCTCAGAGGGTTTGACCTTGGAGGCGCTAAAGTACCTGATCCTGGACTGGAACTGGAGAAATCAAAAACTCAGACGGATGGGGGAGATTCCTGAGGTGAGCTTCTGCCCCCTGCTGGAGAGAAAAGCTGAAAGCTGTTTTAAAAGTGGACGTTTGGGCATCATTTTAGCTCAAACTCTGCTTAAATGTGTGTGTTGAGTTATTTTTACACCACAATGGCTAATTAAGCCTCCTAGCCAGGCTACTTAAACTGATGTTCAGCTAGCTTGCTAATGTGTGAAAAAACAATGAAAAATAATGTTTTCTTTATTGGAAAACACACTAGCAAGTCACTTGTTGCATAGGGATTTGTTGATGGATCCCTGGGTGGATTTATATTTTTAACTTAAAAAATAATAACAAGAGGCCATCCTAACTCTCCACGCCTGGAGGTCAAGGTTGGAGCTGCCTCTACACACACACACCAGCAGTAAACAACGCACACGTTGGAGAGGAAGAGCAACGGTTTGAATTATACCCAGCATAACAATGTCCCAAACATCCGTTGTTTTGATTTACTGATTTAAAGTGAAGCTTCATTCAATTGAAGTTGCTCCAAATGGATATAACCTGCAATAATCCTGATAAGTTTAATGAAGAGATCTTGTTTCTAGCAGCTAACATTAAAAGTAATCTCACGTTTTCTCATTTCTTTTAGATTAAGTTGGACTTCATGAAGCTGCTGGAGAGTGGAATCCTGACAGCTTGTAGAGAAGACAAAGTCAAAATCGGATTATTTTAACTAACTTTTTCAATCATCAAAAGACAAATGGTGTTTTTGACGCTTAAGATGTTTAATATTTTTGTTTTAGTTTGTGTCCGTTTTTTACCTCTTTGTGAGACTTGTCATTAGTGTTTCCATCTACAACTGTGATATGTTAAATAAACCGGCTCAATATAAAAACTGTGATGTTATTTATTAACTTTACATTTGACAAGCCCCTCCCCCTCCAGGAGCACAGGGTCACGAGTCCACCAGGAACTCCCATTAGTCATAAAATCTCATCCATCATGAGTTTGAATGAAAACATTAGATCTTCAGATGTTTCAGTTTAACAAAACAAACTCCTGTTTAGGAGGAAGTCGACACAATCACTTAAGACCAGCGGAAGTAAAAGAGAGGTAGTTGGGTAAGCGCCTGTGGTTAATAAGTAACAGACATCAACAGTCAGCCCCACCCTGCAAAGCCTGCTGGGAAAAACTTTTAGTGAGTGTAGCCTGAGATAGCGCTGATATAAAAAATACAGGAAACGGGTAGTGCAGCATCTTCTCGTGCACTTTTCCTTGATTCTTTAGAATCTCCAGCCACCCATCAGGTTCCAGCTGACGGTCCCAGACATGGGCCGGGGGAAGGACAAGGCTGGGCCTTTGGCTCGGAGGCCAGACAACTCCGCTTTCAAACAGCAGCGTCTGCCTGCTTGGTGTCCGTTGCTAACCGCTAACACCGTGCTGCCTTTCTTCTATGTCATGGCTCTGGTCTGCCTGCTGCTGGGTGTGTGGCTGCTGCTCACTGTGCAGAGCACACAGGAAATCAAGGTGGGCGAAGCTGCACCCTAAAGCTTTGATGTCTGAAGACTGTGCTAAACAAACAGGAGTGACAGAAATGATCAGAGGTTGTTGAAAAATGGTTCATGTTGCTTTCGTTCATAAGTCTCGTGTCTTCTCAGCTGGACTACACAGAAGGAGGAACGTGTGATGCATGTTTTAAAATGCGCTCAAATGTGAGCCTGTCAGCGGAGACCTGCTGGTGCACGGTGGAGTTTTCCATTGAGAAAGCGTTTAAGGTAAGAACTCTTCATGTTTTGAAGTTATACCTGTTTCCACACATTTATTGGACCCTCTTCTTTCCAGGGTGATGTCTTTTTCTACTATGGGTTGAAGAACTTTCATCAGAACCTTCGCAGGTACATGGACTCCAGAGATGATGGGCAGATGGTGGGCAGGAAGAACAAACTAAAGGTATCTGCACCTCCATCCATGGTTTCCTTCAGATCAGAGCCTTAGAGTGATCTAGCATCAGCTCTGGCTTCACCTGTTCCTGGTGCTTCAATTTTTTTTATTTATTATTTTTCAAATCTTGTTATGAATCATCTCTTCCCCTCATCCCAGCTTGACTAAAAGTAAAGCTGCCTCTTGGAGGGTGTAATCATCTGTCCCTGCTGAGATGTTGCTGAGCTTCACGATGGTCTGTTTCACTCCCATCGAGAGCTTCTCTCTGCATGTTGTGGATCAACACTAACGACTTCCAAATGCCAGCTCCCACTTGGAATCGATTACAGATCTTGTATTTGCCTAACTAATTGGTAAATAACAACGGAAAGGCCCACAGGTGTTTCTAACCCCAGCTCTAGATCCAGATCAGCAACAGAAAACCTAAACAAGCAGCTGGGTTTTCTAGAATGCACATTGAACTTCTGTCCTCTCTGTGACCGTAGCTCAAATATGTTGGCTAACTAAAAATGATCAATGTGGAATGTGACCAGCTGAATATTGAGATGTGATTTAAAGCTGCAATCTGGAGTTTTCCCCCATTCAGGAATTACAGAAGTCTAGACAGACAGCAGAAGAAACAAAAGCATTTTGCTCTGCAGGTCAGTCTAGCCATGCTCCATTGGAGCCTCAGCAGGCCAGACCAGTTTTGTATCTAGCCAATCACAGCGCTCTATTAGTTTGGTGTTAACAGTCATTCTGAAAGAGTCCCAAATTAATTTCCAAAAGTTTTATTTTATATATGTAATAAATTTATCATAGTTATATAATAATCTCCAAAATTACAGTATACATTCAAACAAATAACTATAAATATCAGGGGAAAAGTATATTTGTTCTATGTGGATTAATTTGTCTAATAAAGGATTAGGTAGAGAAATAGAACGGTAAGAGCTAACGTCTTACAAATCTCCATTTTTATGAATCACTTTCTCGACATGGGTGAAAGTAGTTGGTAAATCGTCATTGTCCTGAGAATATTCAAATGTTTTTAGCAACTAAAGGGTTAATTTTTACGAAATGACTAACCTGCTTCTTACACTATCCACTTTTTTTCATAAAGTAAATTAACAGTAGCTACCGATTTTCAGTAAACCTGGACAGACTGAATCAGCTGTTGAAATGCGCGTTGGTAGGAAATTCAACGAGGAAGCACGGATAGTCAGAACACCGGAACGACTGTAAACAATGGGTGAAATTTCTTGTTTACAGTATAATAAAGATATTTTAGGAGCCATTTACAAGCTAACTGTCAGATAAACATACAGCAAGCAGTAATTTAATAAAACAACTTCAAGAAATACTTACTGTGACCTTCGACGAGTTAAAAGTAACTAGATAAGTGACGACATGGACGTAATTTTTGGAGAGGACAGGGGGGACATGCCCCCCCCCCCCCCCCCCATGTCCATGAGTGAGGAGATTAAACGTAAACTTCCACAGGTAGCGCATCTCGACTTGTGAACAGCCTGTGACGCAATAATCAGCCTGCGCTGCGCATTTCCCCAAAGTAGCACATTTTGACGGGGAGCACGGTTAGTCGGAACACCGGATACATGGCTGTAATGGTGGCAGGATACCTCAGAAGAGCGCTACACCCTCTGTTGTCCTGGTGGGGTCGGTCAATGCGGGTCTCTCCCTCATGGAGCTGATGGAGGAGTAAAAATTAGGCTTTAGGAAGGACACTGCAGACTTCACCGCTCCACTTTTGCCCCACACACATGCTCGGAGACATCCATGTCCCCGAGAAGGTGGTATAAACAAAACCTGGTCGTGCGAGGACGGGCTGACCCAACCGGGACCGGAATGGGCCCACCAAGATGTAAAACTGATGTAAAACTAGCTTTAGTCATTTCTGTTAAAGAGCAAGTCACTCCATATCAACTTTTTTTTGCTCATAAACTAAATAAATGAGTGTCTGGTCGTGCTGTAGACGTGCAGTCAATAATTCGACATTTAGTGCATCTTAGTTCAAGTTTAAATTTTCTCCCTATAATGGTCAGTGTTGCACCATCGTCAGGTAAAAACTCTGCACTGCATTTGAATTTAAATCTGCCATCGCTATTGGCTAAGAGGTGCTCTATGATGTTAGTTGGTACATTATGATGTCACAATGTTGTGTGTGTATTTGTTAGCGGCTCCGCCCTCTCGGTCTGCTATGCTACAGCCTTTGTTGCATTTTTCTAACAGGAAGTGGGAGTGGAGTAAGAATCTGGTAGGGGGTGACTTGCTCTTTAAGTAACTGAACGGTTGTTCGTAAGTGACTAGTATGTTTATCAGGATAAAAAGAAAAGAAAACATAAAACCTCCCTCTAAAGCCCTAAAGTACATTTTTAAAAACATCCTGTTTTCATTTTGACAGAATCCAAGTTTTTATTGTGAACCGTTTGCTAAAGACCAGAATGGAGTTCCTGTAGCTCCCTGTGGAGCTGTAGCCAACAGCATGTTCAACGGTAAACACCACTCATAACAATCAGCCTTTCACCTGATTGGACCGTTAACTCCTGGTTTCCTCCCAGACTCCTTCACTCTGACCCATCACCGCTCCAGTGGTCCGGTTATGGTTCCTTTAATACGGACGGGCCTAACGTGGTACACCGACAAAAACGTCAAATACCGCAACCCAAAGACAGACAACCTAACTCTGGCTGAGGTGTTTGAAGGTAACGGATCGTTTCCGCCGTCTCAAGGTGGTGGATTTGTGTTTGTGATACAGGAAGTTGATGCTTTCTCCATAGGTACAACTAAACCGCTGTACTGGCAGAAGCCCGTTTATGAGCTGGACCCAGCTGACCCGACCAACAATGGCTTTATTAATGATGATCTGATTGTGTGGATGAGGGAGGCGGCCTTTCCCAATTTCAAGAAGCTGTATGGGATTTTAAACCGGAAGGAGAAAACCCCCTTTGCAAAAGGGCTTCCAGCTGGGAATTACAGCATCGATATAAACTACAGTATCCTTTCACTAACTCCTCTCCTCTTCAGCAGCTGAGATCACTCCGGTTATTTTTAAGCCTTGACCTCCCGCTTCTTCAGATTTTCCGGTGCTGCCCTTCCGAGGCAGAAAAGAAGTGGTGCTGACCACGCTGACGTGGTTTGGAGGTCAGAACCATTTCCTGCCGGTTGCATACCTGGTAACCAGCAGCTTGATCCTCCTGATGGCCGTCACCCTCACGGTGGTCTGGTGGAAGTTTGGAAAGGATGGGAAGAACACGCTAGTAACATTCCAGTAGAGGTGTTGGGATGCTGAAGACCAATGTGTAGGAAACATTCACAAGCAGCTGCAGAAATGCATCAAAAATCCTAAATTCAAGGATGGTTAATGGGAGATTAAAACAAAAAGGTTCATTGAAAGCTGGTCTGGCATCTCAAAAGCAGAAGCATTTGGATGCATTATTTTGCACTTGTTTTATTTTGAAATTCTCAGTCCGCAGAAGAGCTGCAACGGTTCAGCAAGTATGTACATTTGTGTGCAACTATTAGCTAAAAAATGAGATGACTAATGAATTAATTTAAGATTTTATGTTAGTTGTGTCGTCTGTCCTTAAGAATTTTTCTTTTGGGAAAAAAAACTCCAGTTTTGTCTGTTTTTTTTTTTTTTTTATATAAATATATATTTAAGTTTGGCTGCAAAACCCATTAAACATGAACCATGATGGGAAAATCAGTTTTAACCACAACTATAAAACTATAATAAACTTGGCAATCTGAAATACAAGTTTAATAACTGATAACAGAAACATCATCAGACGCAATCTCTCTTTTCATTTGAGGTTTAAAATTCTTTTAAACAATCCTTAAAATGTACCAAATTAGACATTTTTGTCATTACGGTCAGCTGATTATGGCTGGCTTTAGCCCAGACGTTAATCTGTTTATTTCACTAATGAACAGCCAGTTGTGGGCCGTAAATAAACCGTGAGAAACAAGAGTCTTGCAGCTCTAATCAGCTTTACTGTGCTTTTTTTCTGGTTTAATCAAATGCATCATGAGCTGGTATTTATTTCTTTACATGTAAGAATGAAATAAAAAAGTACAAGTCTTTAGGTTGTGAAACTGTCTCTTTATTCTTCTTACAGTCAGTGAGTAACACTCACACAGGAAGCAGCAAACCTGTGTTCATCAGTCTCCTTGAAGAGAAAGCGTGGCAGCGACACAGCGATGTAACGATGGGTCTTAAAGCCGCCCACCCTCTGTTTGGTCTGATCTGGTCTGGCACCAAGTGTGCAGGAGAGGAGGGCAGTTCCTCTACAGCTTTCAGCCACATCAAACATGTAAAACACACACACACACTACAGAAAATGTCACAACAGCTTCACGCACGTACAGACGTCCATACACAGAGACGAGAAAAAACAAGTAGGTCTAAACGACAATGATCACAGCTGTAACGTTTACCCATCTACCTCTTTCTGTTGTACCTTTATATTTTGTTGCAAACATCTTTACTAAGCCATTCTAAATTAAGACTAAATTACTGTTGGCACAATTGTAAAAAAAAAAAATACACAAAAAAGCAATATTTGGTCTCCAGATCTGTAAAAGAAAGAACTTTTCCACTGGAAAGTTCATTAATTGATTTTCTGACTCGGCCGTAACATGAATGACGGGGTTAGTCCTTAATCAGCAGGATGTGAAATAAAAAAATAAATATTCCTCATTTGAGTTGACAGGATCACAATAATGGAATCATAAAGAACTACAGACATTGTCGAGTCGTGCTTCTGAACAACGTAAGACACGAGCGTACCGTGGTAACAGGAAGGAGCTTCTCAATGAAACATGCAGGTTTCTACCTGTAGATCAGATGAATGAAATCAGTTTCAGAGGCGAGCTTTACAAATCACAGAACAGGGACAAAGTATCAGACAGTAGTCAGGTTTCTCCTCCTCGGCACCAACACATTCATTGTGGTTTCAGTGATAGGACTGTAATGGCACCACACCAGCAGCCTGTGGCCTTGCAGAAAGCTTCAGTCAATACAGACGTCTCCAGAATCGTTCTGGACTCCTCAGCTCTGCCCTGCTGGCTTCTGAGTACCGCTCTGAGGTACCTGATAGGTCAGATCCTCAGTGGGTGTGGCCTGTCCAGTGGCATTTTTAGGCGTGTCATACACACAACCCTCAGCCTGTCCACCGTCTGTCCACGAGAGAAGTGGTGTGGGTTCGGCGCCCATAAAACTACGTGCTGTAGTGGACTGGCTCAGCGCAGGCCCACCTGACGGGTGGCAGCCCATGTCGACCAGGATTGGAGTTGCATATTCAGATCCTGAAGCCGGCAGTGGCTCTGCGTAGGGGTGGTAGACATCTGGTGGGATGGGAGCGTCGTACAGGTCTGGATCTGAATATCCCGGGTCAGGCCCCTCATCCGGTTTAAAGGTCGACCGTGTACCTAATGTTTTCAGCCCGCTCACCAGTGGCTGGGCGTATTCTGCAGACAAAAACATCAGATATCAACCCACTCCATTTTTGAACCATTCAACCTGAGGCTGGCCTAATAATTCAGAGCGTTGGTTTTTAATTAGTGTTTCATCACCTAATGAATGAGTCACACACCACTCAGAAACACACTTGGCTTGTCCTGTATTTGGTCCTGGCCCAATACCACATCAGAACACAAGTTTCTAAATTTCTGACAGCTTAATACCTGCTGTTGTGTGGATGGATGCCAGGTGGGACATGATGGACTTTCAGAGGCTAATCTGTGATTGCATTAAAACCAAATTAAAACTATTATTTATTGCAGAGCTATGCAATGTGAAGGTGTTCAGCATCAGTATTGTAAAAGACTCCTTGGATGGACTCTCACTGCCTTTTGTGCCCATGCCTGCTTAAAAAAAGATGCTAAAACACACACACGGGCGAGAAAATGAAGATTTAATGCAACATATCTCACATCAGTACTTTTGCAGTAACTCCTTTTTCTAGTTTCATGTGGTGAAAATGTCCATAACGCCCCCTAGTGGCAACCTGCAGTACATGTTTTAGACTCTGCCTCCTTTATGTAAACAAGTGGGTCTATAAATACATGGCAGCATCTATAAACGATATATTAGGGCTTCACTTTTTAAAAATAGAAGTGGAGACGTTTCATCTCGTCTTTATGTTAATGACATAAACCACAGATAAATTTGAAAATGCTTAAATCAAAGTTAGGACCTTGCATTTTACATTCTGTCCAGCAGGGGCATATAGGTTTATTAAAAAGGTAAAAACATTTTTGTAATTACATTTATGGAACATTTATAGCCACACACACACACACACACACACACAGAATGTTGCCCACCTGCGGGTTCAGCATGCAGCTCTGGTACAGCACTCCGTCCTGTCAGCTGTCTGACCTCAGTGGTGCTGTATCGGATGGGGTCCTCCGTCTCAACCGCCTTGGAGGGCAGCAGCTGCTTCATGTTTTTCCACCAGTCTGCAACACATGAACAAGTTGATGCACAGAGCTGCAACAAGAACTAACACAGAGAGAGCTGATCTACCTGAGCGATCCCAGTGAGGAAGATCGTACGTCCCCTCGGAGCTCTTTTTCCTACAGGGAAGAGAAAATGTCATGAAAGAGCACGGGGAAGCTTTAGGTGGTAAGTGAATGACGCGTACTTGTTCCTCCAGTGGCAGGCCCAAGCTCCGATCACGACCACAGCTGTCATGAGCATGACCAACACGGGTACCAGAACGGCTTTCAACACCACGTCTAAACAAGGAAACTAGAAGTTCACAGCAGAAGACAAATATCTGTTTTGCATCTTTCATTAAACGTACCGTTGTGAGGAGGCATAGTGGTGTTTCGAATGTCTGGGGTGTGTGTGGTCAGACTAACACGAGGTGGGCGTTTCGTGCTCGGAGCATTTTGAGAAGGGGTGAAAAGCCTCGGACTTGGCCCCCTCCTCCCTGTCCGCAATCAAAAATATTCATCTAGAAAATGTGGATCCTTAAAGGTTAACGCATGTATTTACTCTAAAAGCAGTCGTCACTGACCTGTAGTATCTTGGCAGCCGAGCAGCTCCAGCTTGAGTGCGATTCTCTGGTGCCATGAGGTGGGACTGATCCTCAGGAAACGGCCTTCAATCGGAGGAATGAAGTTGTTCCTTACTTCATGCAGGTAGTTGATGTTTCCTTGGAAAATCTGCCGTACGACAACAGATCATCTAATATGTGACAGAAATGTGGACACAGTGGCTGTTCTAGCTGTGGACAAAGGCGCTAATTATGCGATCGGCTCCACCTGGGTGAGGTCACTTCCCAGTCCGATCGCTGAGCCGGTCATCAACGCCAGCTAAAACCCCACAGCTCAACCACTCAGTAGTGTCCCGACTCATCTCCCACGGCACTTAACTCAAACCACTGCCTGCTCACGTTTCCTGCCATTAAACACTCTTGGTCGATAGCAGTTGCTATGGAGACGATCCAGGAATGCAACTCTACATTACAGTTCCTTGAGTGACATATTTTACCTTGTCTTGTGTAGAATTTTCTTCCTTGTAGGTGGTCCATTGCTGACCGTCAGCACTGTAGAGAACTCGGTACGCAGAAACGAAGTACGGGTACTCCCTCAGGGTAGAGCCAGTGGTGATGATGCCTGCAAAGAAGAACAAGATGAGCATGATTCAATGGAGATTAATAAAGACTAACACCACGTCTGGAGTCCTACCTGTTTACACAATGTTTACCATCATTTCATAAGCCCTTTAAACCAGACATGCCCAGGCTTACGCATCCACTCATTTAAACACCACATTAGTTACACGGGCCACATTCAGCCTTACTTAGGTTTATCAAACAAGTGCGTTCCACTAGGTAGACAGTCAGATTAGAATAAAAGCTGTAGATTTGATAGTTATTATAAACTTCAGGTCAGCACATATAACTTTACATCATCTGTGTGTTCAACACATAGGCAGTTTCTGCCTGACCCCTCCTTTCCACCAGAGCCGTCAGCAGCACGTTACTGCAGCAGCACGTCTTGCTCGCGTAAGCTGCTGCTTGGTCTTTCCCACGAGACGCGAAGCAGCAGGGGAGCAGCTGTCACCGACAGAGCACGAAGTCACGCGACATTAGCAAAATCACGCGTGACTTTGTCAGTAAACACAACAACAAGCAGGAGAAAACTACAAAAGAAATCACGTTAATAATTAGTATAAGTTCACCATCTTGCCCCAAAACCGCAGATACGTCACTCCATGCGTTATCCTTCTTGACGTCTTTATAAAAACTGACTGGGATCAAACAGGATTGGGTACTTCTCCACTTCAGTAATCAACCTTTTGTCATCCATTATGGAAAAACAAAGGAGACCGCTAGCTAGGTGACAACTTTTTTTAAAGTAAAGCAACTGGAAGGCAGTATGTTTCTTTATTCTGAAAATCTCGGGAAGCTTCTCTCCGTTTCCGCGTCCGATTTCCTGTCTTTCCTTCCCCAAAAATGTCGAACATGACCCGTTTCAGAGGCGTAGCGCGTAGAAAATCGAACCAGCGCGTAAGAGCCGCGACATGCTGCTCCTGAGACGCGGCCGACTCGCGCTGCTGACGGCTCCGGTGGAAAAGGTTCTGTTGACCACGGCGGTTCCTGTCAGCAGCTATGACGTGCTGCTGACGGCTCCGTTGTGGCTCTGGTGGAAAGGAGGGGTGAGAGTACGTTTTACTCCATCTAACAGAGACGGATCTTGGATGTGGAACAGATACAAAGTTGGTGACATTTCTTGTGGACACTTCATTAAAGTACAACTATGAATGAACAGCATACCCTGAGTATAATAATCGTAACTGTAGAGGTGTGTGTTCACGAATGAGAAGCCAGGAGAAGGGCTTAAAGGTGTTATACATTTTTCCACCTCTAGGTGGTGCCTTTAAGGAAAAATCTCAAACTTTAGGGAAGAATAACAAATAGGTGCAGCTCAGCACCTGTCAGAACAAATAGGAGGTTTAAATAAAACTATTTTGAAGAGCGACTGTAAACAAATGAACAGTCTGTGCCCGAGAAGATCCATCTTAGGTATAATGTTCATCAGATCTGCTTATTAGAACTTAGCAGGTGTCTAATGGGACTACATGGTGGCGATAGCTACACCAAAGAGGTGATTAGAACCAACAAAGTAAAGACCGATAATCAATACTCCTGGAACTGTGAACTCTGTACCTGTGATCCTCCGCTCCCTCTTGAAAACCACCTGCAGCCACTGTAGCTGGTCGCTCTGTGAAGGCGCCCAGGGCAGCCCCGACTTCTTAAGGCGAGCCCCCGATGGTCCCCACACACTGTTCTGACCGGCGTTGGCGCTCCAGTCCCACACGGAGGAAGCGCTCAGGTGAGTATCTGCAACACCGCCAGTCTCCAACCCCAGCGTCCCGTAACAGCCTGAAGGGTTTAAGACATGGAATCAGAATCAGTTGCTGTCAAAATAATAATAATAACAGTAATAATAAACTCACCATTGGTCTTGAAGGTGAAAAGGCTGTTTGACAAAGTTCCTCTGAGAAGAAAAGAAAAAATGGGAGAAGAAGCTAAGCAGATGGTGACCGGGGCGGGCTTTGTGTCCTGTAGTGTCAGACTGCGTTACCCAGTGGAAGTGACGTTGTTAGCCAGTGTGCCCTCATAGTGAGGGATGCCTTTGCTGCTGACCACATTGATCCTCCCCCCCACAGCGTTAGACACCACACCTGCATGGACTGCTGCTGCACACAGGGGAGACGACTGCAGGAGGAGACAGAGAGGCTGTGGTTACACAGAGGACCACACAGTGTTGTGTGTGTGAGACTGTTATCAAAAATAACTATAACCAGGCTACGAATTACAGTGAGGCTTCCAGGGGAGCCTCTGCAAAAACAGGGGAGTGCACACGGCGCAGCCGCCAGTGAGGTGATGTCACCAGAGCGCAGGTTTTGAGCTACGCTGCAAGCGAGAGCGTCAGGCATGAATAAAAGACAGAAAGTACCAGAGATTATAGGCAGACATGAACGATAGTGTGATATTCTTTGAGACGGTTACTGTGGCCGTGTGCAGGATGCAGCTGCCTGGAGCACATGAACAATTAGGACCCTCCGCTCTGAAGTCCAGGGTGCATATAAATGATGTAATATAGGTTGAAACTGGATCTTTTTTCAAGCTCCCCCTGGGTGTGTAAGTTGGGGGACTCTAGTGGAGCCCATCACACTTTCGGGGTAGCTGGGCTCCCCTTAGCGCCCCCAAATATCAAACCTCGACTATAACCATCGTTTCTCCACATAAAGTGATCTCAGATTGATGTCCTGTTGTGACGGGTGATGTCTGATGTGTTCATTCAACAAATGCTAAGAGTTAAATCGATTATAGGTTCGTCCTGCGTTTACGTGAAGTCCTGTAAGCCGATTCCTGCTCATCTCACGCTGAGCACCTGCATACCTACATAACCTTTTACGACTGGCTGTTGATCGTGGTACGTGCATGCACACAAACTTTAGCAATTCATTAAAACTCCATCAAGCGCATTTCCAGTCAAGGAAAATGGGATGCTCTTAATAAAACGACTACACAAAGTGTATTTGAAAGTGTGGCGTTACTTAACAGCATGACCACTTTAACCTTCAGACTCAGGCAGATAAAAGCTGATGAATCAGGATGATGTCACTTCTCTGCACAGCAGATAGGAGGAGGAGCCGATGGAAATGACTAAGAGCCGGGTGCATTTCTGTCCAGACCTGCAGCCACATCACAGAGGAGCTGACAAAGAAAACCCAACTGAGCTTGGACGATACCCTTGCGCAGCTGCTTGAGTGGAGTGAGATGTTATTATGCGAAAGGGTAAAAAAAAAATAAGAAGAACCACACTGCGACTCTCAGCTGTGGGAAAACTGGTGAGCCACAGGGTGACGAGCACACACACATGCAGCGGCCACAAGCCATCAACACTTTCCTGGCGACTTCCCAAAAAATGGCACGCCACATCCTGAAGAGGGCTCTAACAAACCATTACCGCAACAGCTTGCCTCCACCAGAGAAATCAACACTCGCGTGTACGATAACTGGGATGTAGAAGGAAAGAGTAGGAGATACTGAGGCAGACTACTAAAAGCTGCATGATTGTGATCTGGGTGGGGTCACTGATGCAGACAGTTAGAAAGCTCTGGAGATTTAAACACACCCAATAAAAGGCTTTATGAATGAATCTCGTGCTCACAAACTAACACCCAGACATTCACACACAAAGCTTCTCCAGCATTAGCATTGCGCTGACTCATTCTCATCTATCGGAAGAATAAAACACACCACTCTGCTCAGCACCCTGCTGCAGCTGGACTGGATTACAGGGTTATTATTCGCAGCCAAACTATTATCTAACCTCCCTTTTACCCAGTGACCCTGCCCCTCCTCTGTTCCTGTGGGGCGCTGCTCTTCCTAAAGCACATCCCAGCGCTCCTCCCCGTCCTCCCATCAGCCAGAAACACCCCCCCCCCACCAACTCCTCCAGCTCTGAGTGAGGTCATCGGAGAGAGACACAGTGCCTGTGACCTCATGCGTTACAGGGGTGCTGTCGGGTCAGGATGGAGGCAGTTTGGCTCAGGGACAATGAAGGAATCACCTCTCTGTATCCGATAGGAATTGTTCCAGAAACCTCCTCTGTGGACGTCAAGCAGCCCGCAGGACAGTATTTACTGAGGAAAGAGGGACACATTAAAAAAATTAATGTCTTACAAGTCAGGTCACGACACAAAGCGATCTCTGCTCACCTGAACTCTGCCTCTGGGAAATCAGTTCCTTTGTTGAGGCAGGTGATTAAATCTGCAACGTAAAACAAACGAGCATCAGAACTGGTTTCTCTGCTTGATCCTGCATAACAACCTCAGTCCCAGCTTTCTCAGATAACCAACAGTGAGGCCGTGTAACATGTAGAGACTCATACGTTCACCAGTGGTCTCAGTAGAAAAAGCTTCTACTGGTGATAAGACAGAAGAACATCTGAGCCGGATCTAAGCTTAATCAACAGAACTTGACTTTTTTTTCCATGTAGGGTCAGAAATCCTTAACCTCTGAAAGCCTGAGATGTTATATGGTGTGCATTTTAATGTCACCTAGCTGCTCTGGACCTGTAGGACCCCACAAACATTATTTTGAGAAGAAATAAATAAAAAAGTAACCAAATGATTTTCTAAATGATTATTTTCCCCCCAAAAATGCATTAAAATATTGTTTCCCAGCGTATTAACAACAACTCTTAGATAAACTGAATAAAATATTACAGGACAAAAAGCCAGCATCCATATTTGTGGACACTGGGAGGCCATTGATTGATCCCATCAGAGCCTTCGCCATCAGGTCACACGGTAAAGATGTACACTCTCTTCGTGTTCTGACCACGTTATTATTTACAAAAACAGTAATCTGGAAAACCAACCAATGAGTCAGACAGCAAAATAACCCTAAGCCGCACTGGTGTTACCATGGTGACGGGTGTACTTTGTACTGCGCTGTCCACCCACCATCACCTGAGTGATCAGTTGCATGAGGACTAAGCATACACATCAGCTTTGTGGCTGAAGCTGCGAGACTCCCAGCGTGACTCAAGGTGGCCACTGGGACCAAATCATCACTTGTCTCCTCAGACTTCTGGTGATCTCTACAACTTCACCACATGAGGGGAAAACATGCACTCAAATGAAGCAGCAACATTCCAAGTCATGCGTCATTTTTGAAAAAGGGGATGTGGGATTTTCTTCATTCTGAATGAGTAAATCAAACATTTCCAGTAATGAAGAAAACCCAATAAGAATCGGCTCTAAATGTAAGCAACAGTCAGGGACAAACAGATTTACAGAGCAGAAACAAACGACTGCACCACTTGGCTTATTTGTTTTAATTGTGGTGGAAGTGCAGATTTTATGTAAACACAAAAAGCATCAAATGCGGTTGTTGTCTCAGTCTCAAGTTTGGGAAAATGACAGAGAAAAATGCTACATTGAAAATGTACGTCTTCTCAAAACCCAAAACTGAACTTTGATCGAGCAACGATGCGGTTTTGATAGAACGCAAAGATGATCTAAAGAGAGAGAGATGAAGAAACTGTGACAAGCTGCCAGCTTTTAGACACCCTCACATGTTAAAGATCAGCAAGTCCTTCCAGGACAATATAATCACATCACAGCTATAAAAAATAAAATGGGACACAGAGGGAAAACAGCTGTGACTAACACAATCACTGAGGCAACTCAGATCCCAAGGAGACAACAGAACTGGGACCAAGCTCTAAACCAGAGAATCAATGGATGATTTACAGAAACCTGAGTGAAGAGACTTCAAGCACACCTGAATGTTCAGTGATGGAGTATGACAGGTAGAATCCACGTCCGCTGTGGTGCATCCCACTCATGAACTGGACGGTGACCTGGTTGCCTGAGGACTCAATCGGCTTGTTGACCTTTTGACCCAAACCACAGAACTTCACTGGTGGCCGCACATAAAAAAAAACAAAGAGCTAAATCGAGTTAGTGATTAAAATACTTGGTTACTGCATTAGCACCTCTCATCTATCGGTCTTAAAGGTGAGAAAAACATGTTTTTTTAACTAAAAAAAGACAAGAAAAAATATCTAAAAGGTGTCTGTGCTTCTGCCATAGAAACATAATTAACAGAATTTTTTTGAGATTTTACAAAACTTAAGAAGAGATTTAAGAAGCTGGGGCCTCATTTATCAAGCTTGCTTACGCGCAAAACGGCGTCGGAAAACTGCGTAAGCAACTTTGCACGCAAACTTTGGGATTCATGAAAGAAAACAGCAGAAAACAGCAGAAAAATGTATGCTACTTTAAGTTGACTAAGGACCTGGCTTACGCACATGTTGGACATGGAGAGCACCTGCAGTGCTGCTGCTGAGAAGGATACAATCATGAAATCCTGCAGCATTATCACTTGTACTGCTTCGATTTCACACAGATCAAGATCCCCCCCATACACGCACGCGTGCACACACACACACACACATGCGTGTGCGCACACACACACAGCCTGAAGCGCAGAATACGGAATGCAGAATATCAGCAGGGAGACAGATTGAGACAGATTGTCATGCGTCTGTGACAGTGTGTGTCCTGTCACTGTGACCAGATTGATCATGCGCCCTGGCTACTTGAACAGGGGAGATCGTTTGGCTGACTGATTAGCCCGGGAGTCTGGGGATTGAATCCCAATTGGACCATTTTTTTATTTCCGCCACAGATCTCTCTGAGGAATTCACAACATTGACGGCTTCAGCAACGCTGTGCCACTCCGTGGATTTTCTCTTATTTGTTTTGCAAAAGTACTTCCTTTCATTTCTCCACCTCACCCACAATTACCCCAATTTCTGCTTCTGTGAAATTGCGCTTCCTTGATCTGCCTTGATCTACAGTCATTGTCATTGGCAGAGTGCTGCAACAGCCAGCTTATGTATATGCATGAGATACACAAGGCACTTTGCATTGACTATTTATGGCAGTAAGTGGGCGTGGTGACTAAAAAGCAGCTGAGAACCTTTCTAGATAGTTTCTGATTTATGAAGCGGAGACTGCGTGCAGCTGTGCGTACTCCATGTTTGATAGATCACAAACCTACTTAGCGTAAGTACATTTGTTTTTGCTGAGCTTAAGTACGGTTTTAGTAAGGATTCTACGCAATGTTTGATAAATGAGACCCCTGGTGAATACAATAAAACAATATACTTTAACAAGTTAAAACAAATACAAAATCTTAATTAAAAGCTCTAAAAAAGAGCCTGTATAGGTTAAAGAAACCAGTGAATAAACCATCAGTAGATTTGGTTGTCATCAGCATACACGTGGTAATAAATACTGCAGATAATCCAGCCTAGAGGGAGAGCATTAATTATGAATAGAAAAGGCCCCAGAACATAACCCTGAGGAACACCACATGGCAGCTCAGTTGTGTCTGACATATGATTTATTAGTCTAATAGGCAAACTCAACTAATCTAGAATAATGTGGGAAGACGTATTCTCTGTGCCCGCAGGCATCGTGTCACTTGACACTCTTGAGCTGGGGTAGGCAATCCTGGTCCTTGAGTGCCACTATCCAGCATGATTTAGTTGTTTCCCTGTCTCTACACACCTGATTTTAATCAGTAGATGATTAACAGGCCTCTACAGAGTTTGAAAACCCGGTCAATAGGTGATTTAACTGCTGATTTAAGTCTGTTGGAGCAGGGCAAACACCTAAAACATGCTGCAGGACCAGGACTGCCTATCCCTGCTCTTGAGTAAAGCAGTTTTTGTAGGACAGTTTGTTCAATTAAAATAATGAGTTTTCAAATAAAAATCTTTGTGATAATCATAGTTTTGAAATGCCGTGAATGTTTAGGGATCAGATGGCTCTGGATTAGGTTTCTGGAGAATCAGCAGAACGATTGCGTCTTCATCAATTAGGTGAAACACTTTGAAGAACAAAGACATCAAGAGAATAGCAAGATGGTGTTATATAACAGCAAGAAAACCCCTACTTATGAGGCATCAACAGCGCGGAACTGCAGCAGAACGGTTTACTCGCGAGTTTTGCTGCGTGCCAGTACCCACCAGAAGAATCTCAGCTGTGGAGCGGCTTCTCTGCCGTGCTACTCGCTGGACTCACGAGATCACAAAAACCTCTGGAGACTTCAAAGGTCACAGTTTGTTCATGCCATCCGTCAATAAACCAAAAACAAGGAAATCGTGATCGATATCTCTGTTTGATGTCGTATATGATGTTGTTCTTCTCCACTGCCTGGATTAAAGCCATAAAAACACACCGTTGCACCTCTGGAACAACGCTGGTAAAAAAAAAAGTAAAAAAGGAGAACATTTGGAAAGATCTTTCCAACAGATTATTTATCATAGATAAACTGACAGTTTTAATGCAGGAGGCCGTGTGCTATTAGTTGAGTAGTTCAACTGAACTACTCTGGAACTGATTAAGAATTGGATTGATTGACTGAATTGACAATGCCATTGATATTGATAAAACCTTATCAATTCCCACCCCTAATTATTATATATTAGAGAGGAGAAACTTGCAATGCTGACAGGTCTGTCCATTGTTGACAAAGCTCTTTGTCTGGTAATGGCTGACTCTGTTTCTGAATAGTAATATTCACCCTCTGATGAAGATTTTCGCTCGTCCAGTGAGAGGGAAAGTGACGCTGCAGCTGTGCAGCAGCAACAGTCTGCGTGCTTCATGAGAGTAAACATGCTTCACACACATGATCCAAAGCTTATTTCACCGTGTTCAGGACACAGTGGATGTAGAAAGGATGATTAAAACACCACTAATAGTGACAGACGTAGCGGGAAAGTAAAAGAATAAAGAATAAAACGCCAAGCAGATGCAGTAGATGTGAAACAAAGTAAAGCGTGTCATATGATTGATATGAATATTCCAGCGTTTGAAATAAAACAGCAAAACTAAAAGTTTACTTTTGAAATCAGTGCAAATGTACTGATTTTAAAGCAAAGAGCAAGTTGTCACAAGAGAGATGAAACGAAAACGTGGTTCACCTGACAATCTGTTTCAGGCGTGTTTTTTCAGTTTTGGCCGAAAACCAAAAATTCTTTTTTGGGTCACACTCGATCAAAAACTTTCGGTGGCCAAATTTTCTGTGCATCCCTAATTAAATCAAATCGCTGTAACAGACTTTTGTTTTGAAAATTACAGGAGGTTTAACACTGAAACCGTGTGTGATTACCTGTATAGCCCCAAGTTACAGTGGTGTGAAAAACTATTTGACCCCTTCCTGATTTCTTATTCTTTTGCATGTTTGTCAAACAAAATGTTTCTGATCATCAAGCACATTTAACCGTTAGTCAAAGATAACACAAGTAAACACAAAATGCAGCTTTGAAATTATGGTTTTTATTATTTAGGGAGAGAACAAAATCCAAACCCACATTGCCCTGTGTGAAAAAGTAATTGCCCCCCTTGTTAAAAAAAATAACCCAACTGTGGTGTTTCACACCTGAGTTCTATTTCTGTAGCCAACCCCAAGCTTGATTACTGCCACACCTGTTTCAACCAAGAAATCACTTATATATGAGCTGCCTGACAGAGAATTAGACCAAAAGCACCTCAAAAGCTAGACATCATGCCAAGATCCAAAGAAATTCAAGAACAAATGAGAACAAAAGTGATTGAGATCTATCTGTCTGGTAAAGGTTATAAAGCCATTTCTAAAGCTTTGGGACTCCAGCGAACAACAAGTGAGAGCCATTATCCGCAAATGGCAACAACATGGAACAGTGGTGAACCTTCCCAGGAGTGGGCGGCCAACCAAAATTACCCCAAGAGCGCAGAGACAACTCATCCGAGAGGTCACAAAGGACCCCAGGACAACTTCTAAAGAACTGCAGGCTTCACTTGCCTCAATTAAGGTCAGTGTTCACGACTCCACCATCAGAAAGAGACTGGGCAAAAATGGCCTGCATGACTAATTTCCAAGAAGCAAACTACTGTTAAGCAAAAAGAACATTAGGGCTCGTCTCAATTTTGCTAAGAAACATCTCAATGATTGCCAAGACTTTTGGGAAAAGACCTTGTGGACTGATGTGACAAAAGTAGAACTTTCTGGAAGGCAAAAGTCCCGGCATCTGGCGTAGAAGTAACGCAGCATTTCAGACAAAGAACATCATACCAACAGTAAAATATGGTGGTGGTAGTGTGATGGTCTGGGGTTGTTTTGCTGCTTCAGGAACTGGAAGGCTTGCTGTGATAAATGGAACCATGAATTCTACTGTCTACCAAAACATCCTGAAGGAGAACGTCCGGCCATCTGTTACCCCCAAATTCCACTACCTCCGCTCCGCTCCGCTCCGACACGAACACCGGAGCAAAATCGGTCCCGTTGTAGTCAATCAGAGCAATTCCACTACTGCGGCCGTGCTCCGGCAGTGCGGCGCCGTGCGCCGCCCTCTGTTTCAGCGTCCGGCAAAAATAGAATCGATCCTATTTTTGCCGGACGCCGGAGCACCTCCGCAGTAAATGGACAGAAATCACAACCGCCCAATAGGAAAAGGAGCAAGCACAACTTCCGTTTTTCACAATAAAGCGATAAACAAAAGGAGTTTTTTGTTTCATATGCACAGGTTTTACAACTTTTAACAACTATCAATCGCGGCTGAACTTTAAATGCACAAAAGTAAGCCATAAATACAGTTTCTACTATCAAAATAGTCACACTTTGTTGATCCAAACACTGCTGTTCTCTCAACACAAATGATGGGCAGATTAAACTGTTCATTTCGATGCTTCTCCCACACAACGGGTGTTTGGATCTAACTTCCGCATTTATTGCTCGGACTGTATCGCAAGATCTCGAAAATCCCGCACATGCTTGTTTGCCCACCTCAGGTCTCCGCACCGGAGCGGAGCCGTTGTAGAGCGGGTACCAGTAAAAATTGAGTTCGGAAGCGAGCGGCTGCGGAAGGCGGGGGCGGACCGGAGCGGAGGTAGTGGAATTTGGGGGTTAGTCAACTAAAGCTGAAGCGATCTTGGGTGCTGCAGCAGGACAATGACCCAAAACACACCAGCAAATCTACCTCTGCATGGCTGAAGAACAACAAAACGAAGACTTTGGAGTGGCCTAGTTAAAGTCCTGACCTGAATCCTATTGAGATGCTATGGCCTTAAAAAGGCAGTTCATGCTAGAAAACCCTCAAATAAAGCTGAATTAGAACAATTCTGCAGAGATGAGTGGGATAAATTCCTCCAGAGCGCTCTAAAAGACTCGTAGCAAGTTATTGCAAATGCTTGGTTGCAGTTATTGCTGCTAAGGGAGGCCCAACCAGTTATTAGGTCCAGGGGGCAATTACTTTTTCACACAGGGCAATGTAGGTTTGGATTTTGTTCCAGGGCCTGAAATTCACTTGTAAAAATAGGGGGGAATTACCCCTCACATATGTCTGTACAGGGGGAATTTATATATATTGGGGGGGGGGGGGGGGGGTACCGAATGTGCAGTCTCATGTTGTTCTAATCATACCTTACATCACGTTTATAAGCAGTTTCATTGGACTCCTGCAGCATTCTCATCTTCGTTGCTCTTGTCCCTTTCTTTGTTTCATCTCCTCTGCCTGATTTCTTTCCTCACAGAGAAGTTAAAAAAAGAAATATAAACTTTCCAGGAACTACTTGTGGGATTAACAATGGGCCTTAACATTGTTGTATTCTTACCTCAGATTGATGCATTTATTAACTTTTTTTAATCTTCCTTAGTGGTCCTCATAGCTTCATCTGTGGCCATCTTTTCTTTTGTCTGAATGGTGTCTTTTTCTTGGCCTCTAACACTGCTTCTTTCTCCATTGTAATAACTTTGAAGTATAAAAATCAAATAAAAATACTCCTTTTTGCTGCACTGGTATTAGAAATTATCTGAACAATTTTCATTGCTGAAGTTTGTTGTCCAACTCTCTGGGCTGCATCTTTGCTCTTGTTTGTGCTTCTTATCTGTTGTCTCCATCTTCGCTTCTTACTCTGATTTCTGTCTCTGAATTATTCAATCTCAAACTGATAAATTTTCATTAACCCAACTTTTAACACAAACAGTTTCGTTGATGTGGCATCAAACACAATTGCAACTATGTGCATTATTGTATCTGTTAGCTCACACTAATTAGTTATGGAGCGGGGTTCTCCCACACTCCGCTTGGTCCTCTGTCCTCTCTGTCTTCTCTGCTTCATCTCTTTCCATTTGATAAAAGCTCAGTTGAATTCAAACTGCTCTTGCGGAGGGCCATTCTACAAATGGAGCAGTTCATTTCACCATTACTATTTTCAAGCTAGGGATACAGTCTGAGCCAGTTAGCCTGAAACTTATCTTAGGCTGCTTGCTAACGTTATTTTCAGTGACGTTACCTTTTTGAAAGTCCGGAGGATCTGTCTCCTGTCTTATTCACAGCATCGCTGGAATCAGCGCTGCCTCCCTCCCTGCCTCCAGCGCCTCCTCCCTCGCTGCCTTCTGCGCTGGGGATTTCTTGTTAAGTTTTTTTGGGAGCAGGTTCCCCTTCGTTGTTAGATTTCCGTTTTAACCAGCGGTCCATGTCTGTGTGCAGCCGTTAAATCCGACAACCGAATCACTACTTTGCTGCTAGCAAGGGACTGAGCTCGTATTTTGATAAATGGAGAAAAAAATAATAATAATAATCCAGCGCGCCGCCAATCACCAAGATGAAGAAAGGGTTCGATGTTGTGGGATTTTAATGGCTCCGATGCAAACGTCCACATACGCTGCAGGCTGTGCGGGACTTTCCCGCATTCCCGCATTATAAAACTAGATTTGCGAGAAGCGACTATATAACTCACAATACCCGCAATCCCGCAGTGAATTTCAGGCCCTGTGTTCTCTCCCTAAATAATAAAAACCATCATTTCAAAACTGCATTTTGTGTTTACTTGTGTTATCTTTGACTAATGGTTAAATGTGTTTGATGATCAGAAACATTTTGTGTGACAAACATGCAAAAGAATAAGAAATCAGGAAGGGGGCAAATAGTTTTTCACACCACTGTAACTGTGCGGCTTACCGTGCCGCTTCTGGGATGATATGCTGGAAATTTCCACAACACGTCTGGTTTGAATCACCCCTATAGGTTATAAAAGATTCTATCTGAAGCTGTGACGTCCGCTGCCGTTCCGTGCTGCTGATGCTTCCAGTGTGAAGGAGAGGTAACAAATCAAAACGAAGACTAGGAATAGGGGATAAATATAAATTTGTTGCAGTCGGCCCTTGCGTGTTAAGAATCACTAGAAGAAATGTAAGTAAACTCTCACCAATCTCACTCCTCTCTGGTCCGATGCCGTTGTAGAGGCGGAGGTAGTTGACCCGGCAGTCACTGTCTTCTATGTCCAAAAGAGCAAATCGAAAGTGGATCCTCTTTCCGTGAAGAACTGTGATCTCCCACTCACACACACTGTTGTTTGGGTACGCCCTTGGATATCCCAGAGAGGACAGGGTCCCACTGCTGAAGCCAAGCACAGTGGGGCCACAGCCATCACCTGCAGGACACAATCAAAAAAAGATGATTCAGAAACACGCAGAAGAAAGCAACAGGCTCACAATTTATTGGGTTAATAATTCAAGACTTCATTATTTGTAGATAACTGTGTGAGAGAGTACAGATAGAGCATCCTATCCAGGGAACGGTACAGTCAGCTGTCTGGGAATGTTTTAAAAGCCTCTGCTTTCAGGATGTGCTTCAGATCATTGTCCTGTTACACTTTTCTGGTTTCAGACTCTGAAATAAGTCAGTAATATCTGCTGATATTTAAACTCAAAAGCAGAAAATGTGAGCCTTTACCCATGACACCTGTAAGGTGACCGAGTGGTGCAGACCCTACTGGTGCCTGATATTGGCTACAGATAGATCATCGGGTGTCAGGTAAGGTTACCATCAGATGGATCTTCAATATATTTATAGCCTATTTTATCACAAATGTGACACAGCAAAATTATTTACCTCCATGTTGGCCATGAGTAACCATTAACAAAGTCTGTATTATTGGGAAGATTTATTTAAAAATACATCTTATTATTTATGATAGTGAAGGCAACAGAATTTGTAACCAGCACTGTCACTATACTATTTTTTATCGTGGTTATTTCTCATCAGTTCCATAGATAACTTGCAATTAATCGTAAATGAATTTGGTTATAAAGGTACCATAACACCATATTTTCATGTTTCTAATGTTCTAATTAGCTATATGAGCAGACAAATAAACTTCCTTGATGCAAATGTGTGTTTGTCATCGCAACAATCCAAAAGAATGAAAAATGCCGTCCAGAACAAGTTCTACAGAATAGTTTAGTCCTTGTGCAGTTTCCACCCACTGTTCGAAACTACTTTCTTTTTCTGAACACTACAGGTGCTCATCTAGCTTTTTACATTATTTTGAAATATTCAGTCATCTTAGCCAAAATGATAATCTCCATTTAGTGATCAACTGTGACATTACTGTGTTTTTATTGTTTATAGTGGATTCTGAGCTCTGTAATTGCTTTTAATCTGATATTGTGGACTCCTTTGCTCGGAGAGGAGAGGCTTTATGGTGCTGTGGATGTTGTTTGGGCCTGTATTTATCTGGAAGCCCCTCTTTGGACATAATCCAGCAGAACAGGACAAAAACAAAGCTGCCTTCCTCACACATGTTACTGAACAACTGCATGACACACTTTCTAAAGCTCACATTGCTCTCCTAGAGCTCAGAAACTCAACAGAAATCATGTTTTGAATCAGAAATTAGCCTTATTTTTGTCATATTAACGTTAATTCAGAGCATAATTCAGACTGGGGTATTTACACCAGTTTAGCTCTTAAAAAACAATTGTCTGCTAACTGGATACAATGCTACATGGAGTTTTATCTACTTGGTGAATTTTGGTTTAAAAGAAAACCAAAAAACGATGAAAACATAAAATAATCTGAATCAAACTAACTAAGTCAGTCACTTTGACGTAGGAAGACTTTAAAACCCTGAGGGTTTAAATCGTTTAGCGTTAGCTAAACATGCTAAGTTTAGGAACCGGTTTGCCTAGTTCTGCTTCAACTGTCCTCCACCTAAAACCACCCCGAAAACGGTTGTGGGTGAGCGGTGTGGACTGCACGTTCATACGGCCATGGGAGGCAGGTATAACACGGACATAAAAACAAGTGTGCGTTTACTCTTAAAGCCAGCATGGCTCCACGGTCACACCGGGCTCGTCCGGTTGTCACCGCAGCGGTGTGGGGACCAACCTTTCTGGGCTCGGCAGCTCTCCGTGGTGAGGATGATGAGAATGGACAGGACGAGCACCCCGGCCCCTGTCGGCCCCCAGCCCACCATTACCGCTCTGTCCATAGAAGCCTGCAGTCCGAATGCATAATGATCACCTCCAGACCGGCGGAACCGCTTCGGCCTGCACGGGCGACACCAAAACTGACGAGAAATCCTCCAGCAGGTTCCTCCTGGGGTTGTTATTATTTTGTTTCATGAAATGTAACGAGTTCAGGGCACGCGCACGAAGGAGGAGGTCAACGCTCCAACCAATCTATGGAGACACTTCCTTCTCCCGTCGAGACTCCGCCTCCTGGCTCCCCTTCCCTCGCCGAGACCTCCCCCATCTGAATCAGGGACACCTGAGTCCCCCAAGTGGACACTGAACGCTCCTACAACAATCCGCATAAAAACACTGTAATCGCCTTTAAAAACTGTCCATAAAAGTATTTTAATAAATTATATTTATATAGCTATCTTAGCAAGTCACCTTGTCTAATAATAACAAAAACAAAAAAACTAAAGATGATTCCACTTCAGAAAAAATAAAATGCATAGAGTTTTAGTAGAATAATTAAGGGGCCTGCCATGAGTAGTGGCAGAGCCCATAGACGTTGATTATTCATGTCTATAGCAAATAATATAATAATAATAATAATAATCAAACTTATATAGTGCTTTATTAGGACACTCAAAGATGCTTGCGTGATCTCTTATATTTTATATTTTTTCTTATATTTTTTGTTTTTGTTTTTGTGAAGCGCCTCGTGATTTTTATCTTGAGAGGCGCTATAGAAATGATATTTTCTTCTTCTTCTTCTTCTCTTACTAATCCCCTTATTGTTCTTCACCAAATGATTTGGCGTGTTTTTATCTTTGATCAGGTTTTCCTTAACACCATTTTTCTGTCTGACCAACTGATGACATTTTCCCATTTTTTAAGGTCTTAAATGAATGTTATGATCTTCCTCTGATGTGTTTGCAAATGATACAGAGTTTTAACCGATAGCTGGAAGGCTGTTAAAGTAACGATATGTTGTTGGGTCAGGACTTTTTACAAAAAGGTTCGGATATTTCTCAAGTCTGCCTCCTTTCTGGTCAGCTCCAGAAGAATGGAAAAATGAATGCAAGTCTAAAAGAGTTGTTTTTATCTGCTTTTACGCCCGGAATCGCATATATATTATACTTCAATTTAAAGGAACAATGTGCAGTTTTTACCAATAATTTTTGGAAATATCCATCAAAAAGTTGTTGAAAATGAACTAAATGATGCCCAGATGTTGAAAAATATTGGCGGCTTTGTAAAATATAACCACAAAAATCAGGTCTAAAATACATGGGAGCGGGTCTGTCTCTGGGTGATGCCATATTAGATGCCATGTTTCCTTCTACGGGAGTCCATGAGGACAAAATGCATCTACTGATTTGTAACAAACGATTACAAAACTTTTGTCATTCTTAACTCATTCACTGCCAGCCGTTTCCTGATCGCTAACGGCCTTCGCTACCAGCGTTTCTCACCGTTTTTACTGTTGTTTTAAGAGTCACAGAACGTTGCGCGCTAGGATGATGTCGATGCCAAAACAACCAAAACAAAGAGGAGACTCAACTCTTACATCAGGAAGAAGCCGCGTGTTTCGAGCGTTATCCGTTCTTTCATAATCTGTTATTGAATTGTGATCGGCATACGCTTTTCCAGTTCGCGCCTCACTTTTTTTACAGGAACGGCCCAAAACGATCTCCAAACACATGGATGTGTTGCTTCCTGATCATGTGATCTGTGACGAATGCGGATGAAGATCGGCTTCAGGGCTGAGATGTTTGTTCTCTCAGCGCGGGGGCTCGTTCCGATGCTCAAACAGTAAAAAAATGCAAATGACGACTTTAGTCGTCATTGGCAGTGAACGGTTGGATCTAAAATGACGACTTTAGTCGTCAATGGCAGTGAATGAGTTAAATGTTGTTTTACACATTTACCTCTTCACTTGTTGCCAGTGATGAACAGGAGTCTGATGTGCTTGTTATTTTGTTAAAGTTTGCAATCCTCTGGCTTTTTTTACCCTAATGGGCGTCCGTTGGTAAGGTCTTACTCCAACACAAAAATACTGCTTTCTTGCAATGATTTAGGTACCTACAGCCCCCATTGCCAGAAAAAAGCACATTAATGTGTGTTAGGACCATGCCTGTCACGTACTCAGCTTGTAAAAGTTCATAATTCTTTTCTGGCTCTTGGCGGGTGCAGACACTTCTTTTCCTCCTCTCCTCCATATCTTATCCTCATTTGTCTGTCTCTGGCTGCTGGGTGCACGGCTGCTTCTGCATTTTTTCTGGAAACTTTGAAACTGAAATACGTTTAAATGGATCTTGTTAGTTGGTCTCTCAACGCGATTGATAAAATGTTTTCAACGATGAGAACGGGAGAAGGGGCTCCCGGATGCCCTGCCAGTACAGACCCAGTTGGACACATCTTGGACTCCTGGAAACAGTGGAACTTGATTTGTTTAACTCAGCTGTCTGTGGAGGACTCTGAAGATGTGTGGATATTCGTGGTGTTGGTGTCAGGTTTCCTGCTCATTGGCCTTGGAGGCTACCTGGCTTACTGGAAAATTAACGAGCTGTCGAGGAATATTGCCCTGATCCCGGAGCTCAGAGATGGTTTGCACCGCGCTGTGAATTCACAGACTCAAATAATTGTCGAGATGAATCGTAAGCTTGGGACTTTGGCGGAGATTCATTCTTTGGCACAATAGATCGATGCCATCAAGGAGAGAGTGGACGAATCAGCACGGATTGGGATCGATTAACGTCCATTACTATTGGAATTCGGAGAGGTGAGGACCAGCAGACTGTAAGACAGAGAGGAAATTATCTCTGTCTGGCCCCAAAACAATTTCTAATCGAAATCTGGTGTCCTTGAGCCTGCAAGGCTCCAATGAAAACTCCCCCCTCAGAAGATATGTGGAATATGTCGTCGCTATGGCAACTCAACTCTGCCTCCTTTCCCAGCCTGTGCAGGACAGCGGCCCTCCAACCCTGAATGCGCCCCCCCATCCACACTGAGGTGACATGCGCTGCTTCATCGTGGCTGCAGGAGCTGAAGCTGGGATAGTCCCAACCTACCACCCCTCCTAGTAGACACTTATGTTGTGTTGTCTGAAGTCTGTTGCACATCTATGTCTGAGGTGTGTGTTTTTTTTTTTTTGTTTTTTTTTTTGCAGAGAAAAGCTGTCCTCCTGCTGGAGAGTAGCTCTGAAGTGCCTCTTTTTTCCCTCCACCTGCACCAATCCTCATGTAACCCTCTTATCTCTATTAAGGTAGCGCGACTCAGGGTTGCAAATGACCACAGTCACCAATTCTTGTCATGTGTCTTGCACATGTATGTCTGATCTGTGAATTGTGTGTACTGAAACTCTAATTTCCCTCTGGGATTAATAAAGTATCTTTGATTTGATTGATTTGATTTGATAACTACAAACCATACATCGGCACATTCATATATGATGTCACCACAGATACTCCTCTCCCCTAATGTAGTTGCTACATAACACATGGCAAGATTGATTTGATTCTTTTCTCCTGAGGGAAGGATTTGAAGCTCGCTGAACTTACAGCCAATTTTCCATTGCTTTTCTCCGTGTCTGGTTCGATGACGTCAATTGGGTGATACGCATTTGTAGTTCTGGACACGTTTTCACACAAAACCTAAAATAACGTTTGCATCCATTCTTGGCATCTGAAAGTCTTTATAAAATTAACGGACATATGTAAAATCCATGGCATGTAACAAAAAAAGTTTAGAAAATTGCGTTTTTAGCCCCATTGACTTGCATTAACATTTTCCTTCTTCCGGTGACCCATGGTCCGGAAATAGATGGGCATGACGTAGGCTCACGGTAAAGACGTTGGTCTTTTGTCATTGTTCCTCATGCTTTTCTACTTGTTTTTTCTTAACTTTAAGTTTTTTCACTAAATTCTCTGTTTTCCAACTTTTTCATAATATTTTTTATCATGTTTTCATTATGAGCAAAAAATAATTGGTGAGTGCGTTTGGTCCAATTAGAATTTTGATCTTTGACCTTTTTCAGCTTCACCATCTCATTCTTTCTGTGGATGACTTTGATTTTGTTTTCAATAGTCATTGCAAAAGTGACTTTTTACCCTCACTTCAGGGATTGTTTATTTAACAATCTTTTTTTTCAGTTTCAAACGTCTGTTTCTTATATCAAACCAAATAATCTCTATTTTTTTACTTCTGCCCGTAACAGGTGTGTATTTGATTCATAGGTAATTAACCATTGTACAATTTTCCATTTTCATACTCTGTTCATTCATATTAAAATTCTGCTATTACATTTTAACAGATGAAAATATTTCTGCTGTTTTTTCAGTTAAAAATATTCCAATATGCAATTTCTCAGAATAAAAATTCAATGTCATAAACTCAGTGTCTAAAACAATAATTCTGGTGAGACCGTTGTATTTCTTCCATAATACAAGCTTGCTTGTAATTTTAGGAAGTGAAAATGTCATTTTCCAGCTTCCACTTTGCTTTATTTTGTTTTGGATTGATACTTGCTGACACGTTGAGAGCCGGAGGTTTGGAACCAAAATGCAGAAACCCAGACAACTCAGGCAGGAGCGGTTGGATAAATGAAAAGTCATTTCATTAGGATGATGGGTAAATATCCAAAGGGCAGGAAGCAAGCCTAAAATCTAGAAAAACTGAAATACAAAAACAAAGCTCATTTATGAGCAAGAACCTGGAGTTTCTGGAGGAGGACAGAACAACTTTGACAAAGACAATGGACTGATAAACACTGAGAGACAAGACAGGGTTTTATACACAGCGGCTGGGTGATTAAAAGGGAATTGGGCACAGGTGAGATTGATAACTGAGAGGAGGAGCAGAACAGGGCAGGTGAGGAAACCAGACCTAAAATCTGTAAGACAAAGCTACTGAATGTAAATAAACCTAAACACTGTAGAAAGACTAAAGATAAATAAACTAACGACCTCAGAGTGACAGAAGTAATTATACCGGAAGGCAGGAGAGGATCATACTTAAATGGGGAAGGAACACAATACACTAAAGGGAGATATGAACCAGATAATCTAAAATAGCAGAAAACTAATGATAAGTGAAGTGACTAGAGGGAAGCCTGGAGAAGCAGGGGACCAAAAGGGGCACAGAAGATTAGGTGACACATGAGAGGAACCAGGAGGGGGCTGGGGACCACAGGGACACAGAACATGACACTTGCACCTTTCAGCGGAGTCTTACACCTGTGCTTTGTCAT